CCGGCCCTCCCCGCGGAGGGGCGTCCCACTCCGCTGTCACCTGAGGTCAGCGGGCAGGAGCTACCGCGAGGAGGCGGCCCAGGGCCCTGTGCGGGCCGTAATGAGCGGAGGCCGTGGATTAGGAACTACTGGACACGCAGAGTGTTACCTAGTGGGAAAGGGGCTGTCACGGAGGGCCTTTGCGGTGGGGAAAGGCGCGCGGTGGGCGCTCGTCGCCCCCCCCCGAGGCATTTGGTGGCTCCGGCTGGCCTGGGAGACTTTCTCCAGGTGTTTCGGGTTGCTTGCGTGGCGTGTTTCTGAATCACGTTGGCTTTCAAAGCACCCTAAAGACTCCATTCCCACTGGGCTGCCAGCTTCTTGGGGCACTGGGTTGGCTGCCCACGCTGTGAGCAAGTCTCAGGGATTGTGTCAGCAAGGACAGGCGCATTCCTCCCTCTCCACGGCTGAGTTTCCTTGTCTATTTAATGTCAGCCGTCTTCCCCACGCCCCCTCGGGTCGTTTTTTTGTTTGTTTGTCTGTCTGTCTTTTTCTTTTTGAAAACATTGTGTTTGTCTTTCGGGGACGTGGGTTCAAGGGAGAGATAAACCCGAATGTATGTTGCAGATTTAAAATACTGTTACATAACACGAATACAGTTTCATTCTTAGGTACATAAAGTTTAGGATGAAATAAAAAGTGACAGAATGTAAATAAAACGCACACAGAGAACGCGTACTCTGGGAGAAGCGGTGGCAGCTTTGGTACTGCAACCTGATGGATTGCAAAGGCAAAGTTCTGCAAGTAAGCATTTTACTCAGTACATTCTTTCAGATAAAATAATAAATGGAATGAGGAATTTGATGTTTACGCGTTGAGTAGCTGGAAACACAAAATAAAAAATGAAAAGTCATTGTTTTATTTCATTTGCGTATAAATAGTGTAACGTATTTAACTTGTGGACTTAGCTACTCTATTTGTCTTCGGATTTTGCTCATCTTATGGAAGCCTGTTTGTGTACTTAGAGTTTATTATCTTAAGAAGTGTATTGGCTTCTGTTTTAAAACATGAGCCCCAAATTACGTATCTTTGCCATTTGAGTTCATTGTTATTTCTGGATGTGGTATTTAAGGTTGTCTTCAAACAGGGCTCTTCATCACAAACAAGTCAGTATGGTGTGTGCAGTCTGTGTCACACAAGGGTCCTGAGGTGTGTGTTCTCTTTGCTGGTAAATGCTCATCTTCAATTTAAAATGTGATCCACAGTTAAGACCACACCGTTCACATTTCCATCTGAGACTCTTGCCGGAAGAGTAATCCCTGCAAAGCCGGCCAATCAAATGCAGAGATGTGCCCCATCGGATTGGCTCTGCCAAGCAGAAGCGAGAACGGGAGGAAGACTTGGCACTCAGGCCCCCACTAAGGAGAGTATGCAGATATGAAATCAGAATAGGAAGAACCATGGCCGCATCACTACCAAAATATTAAGTGTAAGAGTTATGTTCAAAATATCTTGCCTCTATACATTTTGATGATACCTTTTGTGTTAATGTTAGAAAATGGAATCATTACAAAAGTTGAAATATTCAAGGAGTGTGTGTAACTGAGTGTTTCCCATTCCCAACATGCTTTGAAAGGAGAAATTTTGTTTCACTTTTATACATAGATTTATTTGCAAGAACATTTTAATATGATTTTTAATTTTTATCAGAAGGAAGCAGGAATGAAGCCCAGTTAAAATTGGATCACTTGCCCCACACGACTTGACCAAATGTGTTTAAAGTCCACTATTCTATTCCTCATTTCACAGAGTTATTTCTTAAACTACATTTTATTCCATATTATAGCAGTAAGTGCTCTGAATGTCTCTGCTGCATTTCAGAAAATACAATAAGAAGAAGCCCTAAGCGAGGGATCTCAGCTGAGTTTTGAAATGGAGTGGGGACAGGCGGGGCTCCCAGCTCCCAAGTGACCCCCTCCTCCCCCACCCCGGGCTTGTCTTAGGAAGGTGTCTCTAACCCGACCTGGGGTTTGCACCATGGAGAACAGTTTGCACCATGGAGAACAGGCGAGTTGGGATCCCAGACCTGAGCCCTAGAGAGAAAGACGGTCGAGGAAGAGGAGCCGTCTTCCTGCTTCTAGAGTATTCACCAGGAACCTGAATATGCTAGGGGCCTACTCTGTACTCAGGGACACATGAGCCGCGCGCGGATGTCCCAGCCTCTTCTGACCCTCGTGGGAAGACCCGTTCTGGGAATCCCCACCCACTGCCATCACTGGATCCCTGAAGACAGAGGCCCTTGGGTTTCACCTTTGCACCCTTTTCATGAGTGAAGCGCAGGGACCCACAGCTCAACCTTTTGTTATTTCCCTCAAGTCCCCTATTTGGCACCGGCCACAGTACTCTTAGCTCCATCATGGCTCTGCTGCTCGGACCCTAAGGATAGTGATGGGGAAACTGCAGCTCAGTTATGTTTACGTGTGTGCTATGCGCACACACACACAGCTTTTAGAAATGTCGATTCTTTTGAAACCCATGGTAACAAATGTAAAGACTGCTACATTTGAATACAAAGTAATATTGAAACCCTGGATCTAAAAACTTAAATATCCCAAATTTTCTTTTGCTTAATAAAGCATTGAATTTTTAAAAATGTTTTAAAAACTGATTGCATAATCACCTTACCAAAGTATTGATCATGGAGAAAAAGCAGTGTTAGATGAAAACAGTCATTCTATATAACTTTAAAAATTAAATGACTAAGTCAGGCACAGTGGTGCACACCTGGAGTCCTAGCTATTCCTGGAGGCTGAGGCCAAAGGATCACTGTAGCCCAGGAGGTAGGCAGGACAATAGAGCAAGACCCCATCTCAAACAAAAGAAAATCTTAAAAACAGCTTTAAAATGATTTCTCCTGAAAAGGAAGGAAAAAAAATTCATCTCTTGTTTGGAAATCACTAGAAACTTTGTGAATCCATTTCTTAAATATGTTTATTACCAATAATTTGGGGATAACAATAACAGGAAGGTTTACCATTCATCAGGAAGAAAACCAAAGTTATAGGTCCTTATTTCTAGTATTAAAATATAGGAATAGCTGGTTGCAGTGGCTCAAGCCTGTAATCCCAGTACTTTGGGAGGTGGAGGCAAGAGGATTGCCTCCGGGGTTCAAGGCCAGCCTGGGCTATTTGGTGAGACCTCGTCTCTACTGTAAATCAAAAAATAAGCCAGGTTTGGTAATGCGCACCTGCTACTTGGAAGGCTGAGGCAGAAGGATCACCTGAACCCAGCAAATCAAGGCTGTGGTTGCCATGAGTATGCCACTGCACTCCAGCCTGGGTGACAGAGTGAGACTCTGACTCAAAAAAATGTGTGTGTGTGTGTGTGTGTATAAAGGAAAAGGTGCCTTGATAAATATTGAAATGAGAAGTTGTAGAGCAAAGACTGTGACGAAAGATAATTTTGGTGAAAAAAAATTGAAATGCAATGAATGTAGAGTCTACTAATTTGTTTTAATCCATCTGCAGTTTAAGTTTACCTCTATGAAAAAAAATGTACTAAAATCTGTTAGGAGAGGTAGAAATCAAACTTTCTAAGAACTTTTGATATCTTTACTATTGGCAAATTGTATTATAGTTTTTAGCATACATAGTAAAATGTCCTCTCAGATTCTCTATAATGGTGATTATTATTTGTATCTCTAAATAATGATCTGTGTTTTAAAATGCATTTTACAACCCCTCTTGATTCAGAGATAAATTTAATGCATTCTGAGAACTTACTAGATTTTTAACGTATTTCTACTCAAATATTGGGTCCTTTCAGGAGAATGTAAATATGAACTTTCTCTGGAAATTCTGAATGCTAGCAACTTTAATATTAAAAAATTGAATTCATTTGCTTGTGCCCAAGTGAGATAGCCATGTTGGTAGCTGAGGACTTTTACCCAGCAGAGGAACACATTTCCCTCTGCTGGATTGGTTTTAAGACCAAATAATTTACCAGAAATCGTTTTCTATGTCTTCTTGTATATAAGAAATGTCACTTCTACCTGTGTTTATTCAAAGGCAACTAGAGTCAATGTGACAGACACTTCTCAGTAGGTGACATCAATTCCTGATGCCCATTTGGAGAGATGAGGCTGAAGGTAAGGCAATTTCAGGATCAAATGCAGGATGGGGACAGGCCTGCTGATCGTGGAACACATTTATAATGTGGGGAAGGGAAGGGGGACGATGCACATGTAGGGGAGGGGAGAGGGTCTGGGAGGATATGTACCAAGAAATGTAAAAAAAAAAAAAAAAATTTTATATGAATGATGGGGTTACAGTGTTTTTTGGTTTGGGAATGTTTTATTTGTCTATAATTTCAAATTTCTCCACTGATAATTTCTGCAATAAGAAAACTAGTTGTGGGGGGGGGGTTGGTTTTGTTTTTTTGGTTTTTTTTTTTTTTTGATTTGGAGTCTCACTCGGTCGCCCAGACTGGAGCGCAGTGGCCGCTCCCGGCCACCGCAGCCTCGACCTGCTGGGCTCCGGCGATCCTTCCGCCTCAGCCTTCCGAGTAGCCGGAATTACAGGCGTGCACTACCACACCTGGCTGATTTTTTGATTTATTGTAGAGATGAGGTCTCGCTGCCCAGGCGGGTTTCGAACCCGTGGGCTCAGGCAATTCACTGACCTCAGCCTCCCAAAGGCACGGGATTACAGGCTGAGCCACCGAGCCCGCCTGGTTTTGTTTTTTAATGAGCCGGAGTCTCACTCTGTCACCCAGGCTAGAGTGCAGTGGCATGCTTGAGGCCACTGCAGCCTTGACCTGCTGGGCTTGGTGATCCTTCCTCCCCAGCCTCCCAAGTAGCTGTAACCACAGGTGCACACCACCACTCCAGCTAATTTTTTTATTTATTGTAGAGACAAGGTCTCACCAAGTTGCCCGGGCTGGTCTTGAACCCGTGGGCTTAGGCAATCCTCTCGCCTCAGCCTCCCAAAGTTTTGGGATGATGGGCCTGAGACATTGCACCTGGCTGATACTTGATTTTAAGTGGCAAAGACTATAGTCCTAAGGGATGATCCAAATAGGCATAATCTACATGTTCTGCTTCATGAATGAACACAGAGATCTCTAGATGTCAAGTGGTGTGAGATCGAGCAGGGATGGATTGCTGCTGATGGTTTCTGTCTGCCATTCTGAGTACGTGTTCAGGCTCAAGTGCAGAACTAAGCTTGAGGGTCTGAGATTGTGGCCAGAATCTATTGGAAGTAGGCAGGTAGGTGGTCACAGGCTAATAAGCAAGGGGTCATAGCAAGGTGCAGTTGCTTTAAGGACAGTTTTGAAGAAAGAAACAAAATGCTGATGGTGAAAAATGCAAAACTATAAACACATCAAGAGGCCTATGTTCCTGGGAGCAAAAAGGAAGATTGTCGGTGATGCATTTGTGGAAAACATTAATACTGGAATATTGTCTTTTTTATCATTTCAAGTCACTTAGCTTAGATTGGTTTTCAGCTAGACAAAGCAAAATTCTACCTTTGTAAGGACTCCAAACACTTGTAGGAATTCAGCTGTTGAGTTTCCATGAGAGCATGGTTTCACTATTACATGAATAGATGGTGATTGTGAATGCCAAGACCTTCTTTCCAGAGAAGCAAGCCTAAAAATTCTGTTCATTGATACACAGTGTTCTTCATGAGTAACTATTTTATTTATCAGAATTTAACTTTTTTTCCTCAGATGACCTTATGCACATTATGGCAGACTGCTAAAATTGTTCAGCAAAATTCATTTCCTCTTCCTGAACACAAAGCTTGACTATGCTTCCTAGGTACCATTGCTGATAGGTGGGTCATGTGACTGGGTTCTCGCCAGCTGAGTCTGAATCCATGCGATGTTGCCACTCTGAGGCCCGAAAGCATTAATGCACCCCAACTAGAGGGAGTGACTTCACATGCCTTTTTGTGAGGTGGGATCTCCCTCAGCCTGGCTCTTAGGAAAGCTATCCACCAACCTGTTTACCTGTTCATCAATAGAGAAACTGACCAAGGTATGAGCTTTCATGAGGTTGTACTATTACAAGTTGGATCTGTTTGTCACTGTAGCCTGTGCTCAAAATGAACACACTAATAAATTTGAATATCATTGTGTTTACAGTGTATTTGGAATTACAGGTTTGAAGCACCACAAAACAGATAAAAGGATTAAAGGTCTTTCTTCTTCAATGAAGAAAAGACCATTGTGAGGGCATCTATAAAAATAACGTGCAAATAGATGTCTTTCCCCCAAACTGAGTGCTTGGCTCACAATAGGTACAAAATGAATGTCTGTTGTCTTGTTGCCCTCCCAAGCTGCAGGCTGACATTTTAATAGCTCATTGGACATTTCCAAATATCTGGCCTGCAACACAGCATTTCCAAAATGGCAGTCATCTTCCCTGCCGGCTTCTGCCTCCTCTTCCTCTAGCAAGCCACTGTTGTCCTCCTGACTCCCCTACTTGCATCAGTGGCATCTTGGGGTATCCTGTTGACCGCTGTAAGCATACACTCACCTCACCTTCTTAACCTTCCAGCATGCTTCCTCCTGTCAGCCCCCCTGTTTAGCCACTCCCCCCTATAGCACTCATGTTAGCCCCCATGGCCCACACTCCCTGGCCGTCTCCTCAACAACATTTCAAAAAAGGATTCGAGGACCAGCATAGAATTCCCAACTTAAAATTTTGCCAGACAAAGGCATTCTTTCAAAAGACTATCGTTTCTTTTTCTATAGACTATTTTTTTTTAATGGCAATGTAAAGAGGACTCAGCTTTACAATATAGGGCAGTCCTTGACGTTAAATTCAATGCCATGAGAATCCTCATCACTGTTCAGAATCAGGTCATTGGAATCTCTGTCAAAGCCAGCACTGTCTTGATAGCATCTCATAGCCAGATGGGTGTTATGAACGTGTACCTGTCCATCTGCATTGCTATAGAAGAACCCCTGAGACTGGGTGATTTGTAAAGACAGAGGTTTACGTGGCTTATGACTCTGCAGGCTGTACAGAGAGCATGGTGCTGGTCTCTGCTCCTGGTCAGGACTCAGGAAGCTTCAACTCACCGAGGAAGGAAAGGGGAAGCCAGCATGACACACATGAGAGCAGAGGCAGGAAGACAGAGGAGGCCGGACTCTTAAACAAGCAGCTCTGGCAAAATTATAAGTTTGGAATTCTATGCTGGTCCTCGAATGCTTTTTTGAGATGTTGCTGAGAGCACATTTTATATGGGCACAAGTAGAGCCACCCACTCATCACTGAGAGAAGGGCACCAAGCTGTCCGCGAGGGATTGGCCCAGTGATCCAAGCATCTCCAGATTCCTCCAACGCTGGAGGTCACATTTCCACATGAGAGCTGGAGCCACCCACACCCATGCTAGAGCAGCGTGCTCCTGATGGACAAGCTCCTCTGATAGACAAGGCCCCTCTGGCTCACTGTGGCTGCTCCTCCATCTGGCATTTAAGCTCCCAGCAGGGAGACCCCACACCACGCCCCCCATATTCTTTCCACTGTTTAGGCTAATCAGACCCTCTGCCCTTCCGTTTTCTGTTGCTGACTGTGTGATTCTTTCAACTTGGACACTCTAGCCTTTTTTCTCCACTCATCAAAATCATACACCAAATTTAAGACCAATCTGATGTCATTGCCTCCGCGAAGCTTCTGAACCTCTGAACCCCTGAGCCTTCCTCCCTCAAACTTCCAAAACGTCAAGTGTGGCAGGGGGCTACTTCACACTGTTTATTTACCCCACCCACAAAATTACAGTAATCCTTGATAAGAAAAATTCTGATTCATTTTTATTACCTGTCCATTATTTAAACATTAAATATTTAACACATATTCCATGATTCAGTGCATGTTTTGACCATAGTGGGCACTATACTTTAAAAGTACCTTTGAAACATTTAAATAACTTTACTCTTCAATGTCAAGCAGATAGCAGTAGGGTATTGGGGAAACAGAGATTACTAAGGAACTTCTTTGTTCTTTCCAACATGAGGGAAACAAAAATAAATTCTTGTTTCTATGACCATAATACATAAGCTTTCCTATTATAAAAGTTTTACTTTAGGCTCCTACCCAGAAATTGAATTGTTTTAAAAGGCAATTTGGAGGGAAAATGGGCATTACAGATCTTCCTAACTGTAATTTATTTTAGGTGTGTGCCATTTTTAGCAAAGGTGCTTGCACACAGCTTTTATTCCTTTAGGTTTTATATTCATCAAAAAGGAAGAAGGCATGTGATGGAAAAATGCACCTATCTCAGTCTGATTTGACATTTGAAGGAAATCTGAGCATGTGTACTTCCATATTCTCTCTTTGACCTAATAAATCTTTTTTCTTTGGTGTTCTATTATGAAAATCAACATAAAATTTTTTGTTTTATTTCGGTTATATGAAGAATAGAAAAGTTAGTAAAGATTAGGTTGACCGTATTTTATTAAGTTATTACATGTTTTAGTCAACAGATAACCTACAAAATGGGAAAAAATATTTGCAAATTATGCCTCTGACAAAGGACTAATATTCAGAATCTGCAAGGAACTCAACAAGGAAAAAAACTCCATTAAAAATAGGGCAAAGGACATGAATAGACATTTCTCAATAGAAGACATACGAGCAGCCAAAACACACATTAAAAAGATGCTCACCATCAGTCATCAATGCAATGCAAATTAAACCCACAGTGAGATATCATCTTACATCACTCAGAATGGCTATTGTTAAAAAGTCGAAGTACTTGGAGAAAAGAGAATGCGTATACACTTGATGGAAATGTAAATTAGCTCAACCTTTATAGAAAACTGTGGAGAATTTTTAAAGTAACTGCTATTTGACCTAGCAATCCTATGACTGGGTATCTACCCAAAGGAAAAGAAATCATTAAATAAAAAAGACATCTGCACTCATATGTTTATCACAGCAAAGTCATGGAACCAACCTAAGTGTCCATCAATGTGATTGGACACCATGGAATACTATGCAGCCATTAAAAAAAAAAGAAATCCTGTCCTTTGCAGTAATATGGATGAAGCTAGAGGCCATTATCCTGAATGAAGCGACTCAGAAGCAGAAAATAAAATCTCTCTCACACACACATATGACTTTCAGTTTGTAGTCTGAATTTTAGTTGGAGCATGTGGTAAAAGACCTTTTATGTTTAGCCTTGCAGTCCAACTAGAGAAGAGAAAAACATAATTTCTTAAATTCATTTCTTTAAAACAGTAAATCTCTTGTCTTCCAGTTCTAGTCATGACTGAGTAGTTGACATTGAACTCACTTTTCTGATATAAACAACAATAGAAGCTAGTCTGAGTTTGGTGGCTCACACCTGTAATCCTAGTGCTTTGGGAGGCCAAGGCAGGAGAAATGCTTGAGGCCAGGAGTTCAAAATCAGCCTGAGCAACAAAGCAAGACCTCATCTCTACAAAAACACTTTTTAAAACGTCAGGTATAGTGGTGTACATCTATAGTCCTAGCTACTGGGGAGGCTGAGGCAGGATCACTTGAGCCCAGGTGTTTGAGGCTGCAGTAAGCAATGATTACACCACTGCTCTCCAGCTTGGCAACAGAGTAAGACCTTGTCTAAAAAAACAAAAAAACTACCAACAAAAAAAAAAACGACATATTATGTAAACAGCAATATGCAGGCACTGGACAGCAACCAATGCAAGATTATATTATTATCTTCAGAAACGAAGTACATGAGGTTAACTTCATATTAATCCCAGCACAGGACTATAGAACTAGTCAGAGATCAGCAGTATCTCTGGGCAAAGGAAACAGATCAGAGATCAGGCCCTGTGACACTGCTGGGCTTGAAGGGAAAGGTCACATAGAGGAGGGAGCTACAGAGAAGGAGCCCTCACAAGTTGCATTAAAATGTCCCTCAATTATTTGGCCCACTGTTAAAATCTGTATATGCAGGGTAAGAATCCACGAGGTCTAGGAGAGAACAGTTTCTTGAAGGCTGGGAGCTGAACAGATTCCAGAGACTGCACAACAATGGGGCTATGCAAGTGGTTAGGCTCAGGCTAATGTAGAATTATAAACCTTCACAAGTGCTCAGGCACTCATAAAGACTCCAGAAAGCCCTCCTAGGATGATGGAACATGAACTACTGGTGTTAAGCAATAGGGATGAGGGCTAAATTTAATAGATACTTGTTGCCAGAACAAGATTCTACATCCAGAAGAATATAATCTAAAGCTCATTTGCTGTATTAACCACTATTCCAGCATACCCTCCCCCTTGAAAAAAAATCACTGAAACATGAAAAAAGCAAAAGGAAAACAAAACCACCATGAGAGAAAATAGTCAAAAGAAGCAGACCCAGAGATGATTCTGAGATTGAAGCTTAGCAGGCAAGGGCTTTAAATTAATGATCATTAGTGCACCTTTTTAAGTTAGAGGGAAATATGGATAAAATGAATGAAAGGATAGAGTTTTCCAGCAGAGAATTTGAATCTATGAATAGGAATCAAATGGACATTCTACAAATGCAAGATGAAGATCTGAAATTAAGAAATATTTGAGCTGGGCTCGGTGGCTCAGCCTGTAATCCTGCACTTTGGGAGACTGAGGTGAGTGGATTGCCTGAGCCTGCAGGTTTGAGACCCGCCTGGGCAACTTGACAAGATCTCATCTCTACAATAAATCAAAAAATTGGCTGGGCGTGGTAGTGTGCGCCTGTAGTTCCAGCTACTTGGAAGGCTGAGGCGGAAGGATTGCTGGAGCCCAGCAGGTCAAGGCTGCGGTGGCCGGGAGTGTGCCACAGCACTCCAGTCTGGGTGACAGAGTGAGACTCCAACTCAAAAAAAAAAAAAAAAAAACAACAAATATTTGAATCATTGCAACACCATTCTAGGTTCAAAAATAGTTATGAAAATATTAAGACAGAACTCAGAAGGAAAAACAACTTAATAGGGAAAAAAGAACAAAGTCAAAGAGAGATGTGGAGGATAGGCAAAAATTTGAACATATATGTACTTAGGGCTCCAGAAAGAGAGGAGAAACAGGACATCAGCAATATTTGAAGAATAATAATGGCTGACATTTTTCCTAATTCAATGAATGATAACATTTAAAGATTCAAGAAGCCTCACAAATGCCAAGCAGGGTAA